CACCAAAGTCACAGCTGTCCAGGGCTGGATTGCGCAGAACCTCAAGCTCTGAAACTGCATTTCACCACTCAGGGAAGGCAACGAATGAGAGGAGTAACTGCCAGAGGAGGCACTAATCCCTCAGCTATTGTACATTTTTGTGATGTTGCAAAGGGGTGAAGATGGCCTTGCAGGTATTAAGCACGTGCCAGCGTTGTGTGACCCGCTGGTTGTGACACACCAGGGCATTTGATAACTGCTTTGCATAGAAAGGTACAAATTCTAGACATTTTCCATAAATAAATGAGGCCTGTCCCAACTTAAGACCTGGCCAAACATCCTACGCATTAAAACATGACCTTTCTAGTTGGAGGGGTGCCCGAAAACATCTGGCAGATATTCATGGAGTTTGGCTGACCTCTCCCTATGATCTGTCATCCCAAAGCCAAGCCAAGAGACTGGTGAACTTCGTCCCAGCCCAAAGTTATGCCCTTGCAGAAGCCTCAGACCTCACTGCCTTGATGGAGCTGTTGTGCTGTGCAGTGGCTTTTGGGAAGGGTGTGCTGCTGTTTTCACTCAGTGCCTGAGAGCTCAGTGATGACCTTCTTGATCCCAAGAGAAGACAGGACTGAAACGCTTGGAGTTCAGACTGCAAAGGCCCTGATCTGTACTAGAGGATCAAGACAGGCTTCTCTACACCCTCCATACACCCCCACCCACCCAACCTCCCCCCAGCTCCTTTTGCACCAGGGAACAGGTGATTAAACTGATTAAGGCATGGTCATACAGACCACTGCTCTGGTTAAGCTAGGTGGGAAAAATTCAAAGTGCTGACATAGGGTGCAAGGATATAACTCCTTCAGTAGGAGGTCAGGTCCCACCAGCCAGCATATGACAGGCAGACAACTTTGTTCATAAGAAAAAAAACTGCCGCAGAGCTCATGTGCCAAGTCTTGGGCAGACTTAGACATCTCCCCATAGATTCAGCCACCAAAACTGAACAGCTGCTTGTAACCCAGACCCCTTCCTCATTTTTGGTGCTTAAGCTCTGCATCTGGGCATAGCAAGAGGTTTCTTCTGTCTCAACCCAGCTGGCAGTGAGATCCACCACCTTCCCAGCCAGAGCACCAGCAAGGTGGGAGACCTGGCTTCCAGGCATGGCTGAGCTCCACATGGGTCCAGATCCATGGCTGCAACACTTGTGGGATGGTCCCATGAATGAAGTGGGATGGGACTGCTGCACAGCCAGTGCCACAAAATTCATACAGCCATAAATAAAAGTAAAAAGGCCCCTAAGCAAACACGGCTGAAAGCACTTTATTTTCAAGTAGTCATTCTGACAATCTGGAAGGGAAACTCCAGTTTCAGTAAGTTCAAATACCCAATTATCTCCTCACTTTACCTTGTGTAAGAACACTTTAGTCCCTTTATAGAAGCCACCACACTGGGAGATTAAATGAAATCAGGTTCTGGCACATCCCTTTGAATGTCCCAGCAGGTATGGAGACAACATCCTTCATCTGTCTCCATGTCCCAGCAAACAGTGAAATCTTTTATAAAATGCAGATCTCCAAAAGGAGGGATTTCAGAAAACCTCTCTCTAGAGACCCAGGCACTGTTAATCTCCAACGCTCTCCTCTTGCAGCTGCTGTACCCACTGCTGACTATACAGCATAAACCCAGCTTTTCAGGAGAGGCGTGTAATAGAGTTGAGCACCAAAGCAGACCCAGTTCTCTGTTGCAGACATGCTCCTCCCTCAAAAAAATGATGCCTAGAAGGTAGGCTCCAAGATGGAACATCTATGCCAGAGCCAAACCAGAAGTCAGAGAGTATCACAGCAACACAACACACTTTATTCTATAAAGAAATGAACCCGAGTACTTTATTCTGTAAAGAAATTAATCCATCCACTTCCCAACCCTGTCCATCCCCCCAGCTGTGCTGGCACAACTATTTGCAAGGCTGTGCTGCAACCTGTTCTCCAACACTGTGCTTGTGCTAAGTCAAAGCCTATGAGCCCAAAGTGAGCCCCACACAGAGATACACAGATACAAGGGAAGAAAGAGTCCAGGTGGCATGTGGAGAATATTATGGCAGCTTTTCTACTGATGAAAAAGGACTGGGTAACTACCTGATGGCTGGGTCCATGCTGGAATCCTGGGCAAAGGGACTGTGTTGCTGGCTTGTCTTGGCCCCTCTTTTCCACAGAAGGCTCCTTGCCTCTCGCAGCCCTTTCAGCAGGGATTTTATCAAGTGCTATAATGCCTTGGCCAGTCTGGACAGTTGGGAAGGGCAAGAAGTAAATCAAGCAGCTCATGGTGGCTCTCAAGGCTGGAAAAAAAAAAATCACTCGCTCCTGGGGCTGGTGTTAATAAAGGCCAATGGATGCAAAAGGTTTAGCGAGGGTTTATTGCTCTGCCACGGCAGGGGCTGGGAAGGCAGCAGGATTCACCCCCAACCACCTGGACTGGCCGCTCGTCCCTTCCCCACATGGTCCCTCCTGGCCCGGAACGCATCATCACATGTTGGCTCTCTCCCGCTGCAGCCGGGAATTGTAGGCTCGGGAAACCGTGTTCCAGGAGTCCATGTACCGGTCCATGCACATGGCGATGCACTTCTGCGGGGCACAAAAGCCTCAGCGGCCGCCCCGGGCGCGGGCACCGCGGGTCCGCGGTTCTCCCGCCCGCCCTCACCTGCTCCGAGTTGTCCAGGGAGCCGCCGGGCTTCCCGATGCACTTCCGAAAGCACTTGTCCGTCATGCGCTGCGGAGAGAGCCCGTGAGCGGCACCGCGGCCCGGGGGCTCCGGCCGCGAGGGGAGCGGGACGGGGACGGGGACGGGGACCGGGACCGAGCCAGCCCCGCCCGCGCCCGCAGCCCCTCCTGACCTGCAAGAGCTCCTGCGCGTTGGCCACGGCGATCTGCACCTTCACCTGCTCCATGATGAGCCCCGGGTCCAGCTTCCCCCCGCCGCCGCCCCCGGAGCCGAAGTCGGAGCCGAAGCCGCTCTCCATGCCCTCAGTGCCCGCGCTGCCGGCGAAATGGCGGCGCCCGGACTGCGGCTCCCGGCGGGCCCCGCGCCGGGCGGGGCCGAACCGAGCGCGCCGGCGGCGCCTCAGCGGGGCCGAACGGAGCGGGGCTGAACCGAGCGGGGCCGAGCCCAGCGGGGCCGGCCGAGCCCGGAGCGGGGCCGACCGAGCGGGGCCGAGCCCGCGGCCGAACCGAGCGCGTCGGGCTCAGCGGGGCCGAACCGAGCGGGGCCGAACCGAGCGGGGCCGAACCGAGCGCGCCGGCGGCGCCTCAGCGGGGCCGCGGGGACCGTGTGCCCAGCGCGGGTGTCACCGCCGGCCCCGACCCCGTCCAGCTCCGAAGGGACTCCCCAGGGCAGGGTCGGGCCGGGCCCGAGTCAGACACAGCGTTCGAGTCCCGGCGTTCAGCGCAGCCCCACGGAGGGGCGAGGGGAAGGGGCTTTAAACCGGCAGCATCAGAGAGACGAACGCTGCCCGGCTGCCCTGCGGCGGAACACCAGCGGGCTGAGCTGGGCTCCCCCCAGAGAGCAGCTCCTCGGTGGGTTCTCTCTGGAATTCACCCTTCCAGGCGATGACGATCGTTTCCTCTGCCTGACGTGACTCGGGGGATAAGCTCGTGCCCTTAATTCTGCCTCAATTCCATTGCGGTCTCCTCCGTTAAGTAAGAACGCTCTGGAACGCGGTAGAAGCAAATGGGAGACGACACCACGGGGGCAAGATGTGATGTGAGGGAAAGTTGGTATGAGAGAAGGAACTGAGCTCTGCTGAGCTAAAGCCCAAACTGCTCTCGTCTTCACTGGCTAGAGCCCGCACTCAGGGTACTGCAAACCGTGTCATCCTGTCTGTCGATCTGTCCACTTCAAACAGAAGGCATTCCGACACCTCACAGGAGCATCATCAGCCAGTGCTAACGATGGGGCAGCCGCCTAAGGTACAGTTTTATCAGTACGGCCTGGAAAGTGGGCTGGAAGCTCCGCAGCAACGCTCCTGCCCATCCTAAGAATCCACCCCAGCCAGAGGCCGGTATCTGCTCTCATTCTCACGTCAGGATCAAGCAGGTTAAATGGAAAAACGCCTTCAGTGCAAGGGTGATAAGAAGGGGATGGTTTCCTGCTCCAGCTCCTGATACTCTTCCTGCTGATCAGAGAGGACAGCACTTTCCACCAGCACTGCGTCCCATTTAAGGAAAGCGCTGGTTTGCTTCTGGAATACACCCCGTGATCCCTGCTGGGACACCCCACAATCCCTGCTGAGACACCCCGCGATCCCTGCTGGGACACACACCCCTGATCAGTCTTAGGAGCAGGGACAGCTCTTTGTGTCCTCTCTCTCTCTCTCCACACAGAAAGGTCCCCCCGGGGATGAATCATCTCAAACAGGCCACATGGCCTCGAGGTTGGTTAAAAGAAAGAAGGAAACCAGTAAAATGCAAAACATTTATTCGAGTGTGTTGTACAAAAAGTTTCCAGTCATAAAATGTATATTACAAATCATTGAAAAAGACAAGACATTTGGCATGCATATTCTAAAAAGAAAAAAAAAAACACTTTGAAATGATAAAGTCTAGATCATTATGTAGTTTTTTAAAGTTCCAAGTGAACAGTTTAATAATTTTGTCTTCTGTGTTTCAGTTCACCACCTTTTTCACAATTCCTTATTTTAAAAACTTGAACCTTCCAAAAACTCATCTGCAGCAGCTGACTGGAGGTGGTCACTGCACTGAGCAGTGCCCTCGAGCCAAATCAAAATTGTGCCCCCCAAAAATTTAAAAATTAAAAAACAAAAATCACAATTCAAGTCATGAGGCATCACTGCTATGAAAATAAAAAGTTAACTGCATTTTGTGCCCAAATGGAAATCATTTTGGCTTAAACTTATTGCTTGTACTTTTAGTGTAATGATCTGGGTAGCTGAATACACAGTAACATCTGCCTTACCAGCACAGAATCATCACTTCAGTAAAAGCTAAGTAGAAAATCTGGAAGTTCATTTTATTTTCCTCAACTTCAAGTCAAATCACTGCTTATGCTTATTCTGAATAGAGGCTTTCAATATTGGCCATCCTTTTCATTCTAGACCTTAGCATTTCAAGAAAGGCATTATGTTTACAAATAATAATTGCATGTAAATATGGTCTTGTATAAAAAAAACCAAACACCTTTAAATAATTTTAAACTGGTTTAAAGCTAAGCATATTGAAGGGCAAATCAAAATTCTGTTTCCCAGGCCATTTTAAATGAGAAAACAATTTCTCCAATATCATTTGTCCTGACATTCAGCTAAAACAGTGCTTTGAAAAATGCAATCACTATCTCACCTTCCGCTCACTGGTTCACAACAAGGCTTTGCTTCCTGCTCACACAGGGTTTGGACCCAACAGTGTCAATAAAATCCAGGATCAAATATGCCTTTGTTTAGAGATAAGACTTTCAAAAGAAGATAAAGAAAGAAGAGAGAGAATGGCTTAACAGTGAAAATGTGAGAGAAGTGGCTACAAGAGATCTAGAACATACAGCATGCATGTCTTCCTGCCTCATCAAAACCCTTCTGATGTGAAGAAAATTAAGATTCTCCAATGTCCTGGGGTATAGAGAGGATTTTTACATGTCTCTTCTAACCTCTGTTCAGGTTGCAGTTAAAGGGCTTTTATACAGGATGAGCATTAAAAACAAGAAAAAAGGGTGTATAAAACCCAGTAAGATCCCTGAACTGAACATGAGGTGTCCCGTTGCTCGAGGGCAGACACCACACGCAGTGATCTCCTTTCACAGTACAGTCTGCTCCACACCACAGCACAGTTCCCACACTGCTGCCAGCTGCACACACACTCAGCTGGCTTTTACATCACAGCCACGGGAAGCAGATGTTTATTTTCTTCATGAGACTTTTGGTTCCTGCTACAAACACAGACTATGCAGCCAACTCCTGTCTAACGGCAACACGGAGCTGAAGACAAGTGAGCAACGTGTCAGTGCAAACGAGGGGTTCTGTCAGAGCCAAGGAACGAGGGAAACACAGGAACTAGAGTTGTGCAGCAACAAAGGAATCCCTGGAAATACAGATGTGCAGCAACAAGGGAATCCCAGCCACTCTGCTCCTTGGAGTAAGTCACTGCAATGCAACACTTAAAGGAACAAATGTGGAAGCAAGGGAGAAAGAAGTGGCATGAAGTGCCAGGGGCTCTGAGGCCACACCTCACTCCACAGGACACCACATTCCTGACAGGTCTGCAGATGGATGGACCTGTTCTAAAAAGCATTTTTATGTGGTATGAGCTTAGGAGGGGGAAGGATGCATTGTTCATATTTTATATCATATTCTGTTATGATCTACACATAGGAAAAACTTTTTCTATTTCATCCAGAATAAAGTTGTTTTTCTGGAATAAGAACATCCATATGGGTAGTTATGCTCAAGTAACTACTCTGATAAAAGCTATACTGGTTTGTTTCCCTCTTCAGAGACACCTTAAAATCATTTTCCTCCAGACAAGTAGAATCTGTTTCCCCTTCAAGCTCTACACCAGGTATGAGCACTGGAGTAGAACCGCTGACCATTCTCCAGTTTCTCCAAGAGTGGTTCACATACAGGATCAAAGAGAAAAAGGGGGGCAAGGGAACACTGGATTTGAACAAAAACCTTTAAATATCCTGAAAATGGGACAAAAATCCTTGAAAGACAGAGGAAAAAAAGAAACAATGCTTTTTGTTTTGTTAAAGCCACAAAACTGCCTCCCAGTCTGGTGCACCAGCTTTACTGGGACAGCGCCATTAGACCGAAGCTCAGCATCAAAAGCAAGAGGACTGGATGGTGCCTGGAGAAGGTGGACACACACAAAGTACATGGAATACAGTAGTTCTTCTGTGTCTTGTAATTTACAGTCAGGAGTTAGTTATCAGATTTGTAGTAGCCTATTAAAAAGCACTGTGGTAACAGAATCATCCACATTCGGACTGCTGGCTTTCCCACAGTGTCCATCACTGGTTTGTATGACCTGCATATACCTAAACACGGTCCTGGAGAATCAAATAAACTGTTTCCAGAGTTAAAGGACACAGTTCCAAATCTAAGGACAAATTCTGCAGACTGTTACTGAAGGGCACAGTGCTCATCACAAGAGATCTGCAAGCACCAGTTCTTAAGGCTACAGGAAGACACACTCCCCATACAGTAGCTGTTAAGAAAACTATGGCTCAGGTAGCAAGAGGTTTTTCCTCATTCAAGCTGCCTTTCCGAGGCCATTCTTTACAGGAAACAAACAAAAATCACAGAAAAAATGCAAATGAACTCCACGCTCATTGCTTCAGTATTTAAGATCACAGAACAATCTTAAAGAATAAGCAGTCCAAAAACTGGCCCGTGTAAAAAAAAATAAATACAGATCTTTAGGGGAAAAGCAAAAAGCCCTCAAATGCTATGTCAGTATATTCTAGAAGCTGTGGATCAGAAAGGGAAATGCTGTCCAGTGGTTGGAAGGTGTGCTGCAAAAATAAGTCTACATTGATTGCATTCATTTGCATAACAACAAATTTAGAAAAGATAATTATAACAGTATGTCTGAGAAACATAATTTCACTAGATACATCTTACAGAGAGACAGACATGATTTACTACATATTTGATCTTCTACTCAAGCAGAGTGGGAAAATTACATTAGAAAGATGGCCAAGTACATCAATGGAGTTATCCCATAGCCCAAAAAGCCAAATCTTCATCCTGCTTTTTTGTAATGGATCTTCTGATAATGGATTAAAACATAATTCTAAATGTCTATTAGTTTAACTTCAGCAATTCAGTCATCCCACTTAAACAGAGAAAAGTAGCATCTTTGATTTATTTCCAAACGGCAAAATAAATGCTGAAGCTTAAAGCCCCTTTTGTTCCCACCCTGCTTGCATGACAAAGCCATCAGTCAGAGCCACTAAACTGACTTTCTAGGTTATATCTGTCAGTCACAATACTGTTCAGAGAACACAATGTCCAAAAGCCACCGAAAACATCCAAACCTTGTCACTTGTCTGATGAGTCTACACTATTTGAATGACAAGATCAGACTTCGAGAGTGCAGGTAAAAACACGCTTCTGTGCTGGAATCAAATGGTATCCAAATTTTGTATCCATACTGATAACTAGTTAAAAAAAACAAACATTCACTTGTACAGTAGCCAGTGCATTCTTTGGAGCAGTCAAATATTTTTCCTTGTGCTTAAAGATGCACCACTGTACGAACATGAACCCCCATGGGAGTCAGACTTATCTCCAGAGAAATGCAGCAGCAGAAACCTTAAGCTAAAAGGGACACTGTCAGACACAAAATTGCAATAAAAAATCACCTGCTACCCATACAAAGCATTTTTTATAAAAAACATTATTCTCCCTTTGCTCCTTGTTAGACTTTGCCTCGAGCACTTGAACACTGCACAGCAACACTCACGTCCTGAACAGCGGCAGTTCCTTTGAACTGCTTAAAAGTCATTAAACTATTTCTGCACTATTTTGTAAATATTGCTCCTTAGGATACCTGACAACACCCCTTTGAACATAAGAGAAGTATGAACAAGCTGCATCTAGCTCTGATTAAAAAAGTCGACATTTACACGGGATAACCTTTAAAATCCCCAGTATTTATCACTGCCAAAAGTATAAATATGTTTAATTTCTAAAATCTTAATCGATGTGTTTAATGCTGAACATGTCAGAAACATTAATCGTAAATACTGACCATCACAACTTGTGTCCATGACTTAACAGGGTCTCACTTGACACAAGGGCAAAATCCCCTGAAAATCAAACAGTTCAAACTCTGGGTTTGACACTTCCAACTTAGGATGGTAAATTGATTGCATATGGGATATTCAGGAAGCAGAACATACCATCTTCCCTCTTCTGGAATGATGACACAGAGCTCAGGGGGTGACAGACTCAGATGGTTTTACCAGGAGGGAGCAGGACATGATGGCACAGTCCTGAGTCAGAAATGCCTAAAATGCAGGTTCCCTGTGTCACTGCAATTGTGTGACACCGTTTGGAATGAACCTAATTTTCCTAAGGATACCAGGCAAGATACTACCATTTCTGCAATTGTGGAGGAAACACTCTGTGAATCTCTCCCAGGGCCCTACAGATGAACCCACTTCATAAAACTTCTTTTCTGGGGGAAGGGGTTATCCTGGTTATAATATGTAATTATAGTTTTACCATACACTCAAGGAGTCTCATCTCATCTTAGCTAAAAATCTCCTTTCTGCTTTAGGTTTCTACATAAGACTTTAAACTCTGTGTGGGGAAAAATATTGTATTCCAATATAGTGTTTCAACAAAGAGGGAAAAATAAAGAAATCTATTAAAAATTCTGGCAGTTTTGTTCAGAAAAGGTTTTTTTTTAAATTTTTTTATAAAAATGTACCAAGGAGTAAACTTCAAAGAAATCAGATGATGCATATAAAAATAGTTTTCAGTGGCTCCGGAGGGAAAAAATAGCAAAAATAAAAGGAAATAAATGAAGGGAAAAAAGCGCAAATAATAGTTTCTGTCTTCTTTTTTCACATCACTGAGCATCCTCTAGAGGTTGTTCTGGGATCCCCCTAAAATAAGACAGACACAGTTGAATTTAGTCTCTGTACTTCCAGCAGTGAGACAGATAAGTGAAAATCGTGATGTCATTTGCTTTAGACCAGCAAGTTCCTCCCTTTATTTCAGATGCTGATTCCATCCGAGAGAGATCTGTGCTGCAAAGCTGCTGCTTTGGGTAAGAAAAAGTTTCTGTTTCAGTTGCTTTACACTACAAATACACTGTTTAATCTCTCCTGAGGACCAAAAAGCTTTCAGAACTCACCTGCAAACCTTCACAGAATCGGTTCTTTGTGAAAAGAGCTACTAACAGCCATTGACCAGGGGAACAAATCGCTTCAGTTTCAAATAAATTTAAAATATTTTCTATCACCTGTATGAAGCATCTTTCTCCTTTTCACTCTGCCAGCTGCTGGTTGGTTATTTCACAAGTGTTATCAAAACATACAGGTGGTATTACTAAGAAAAAACAAGTTTATTTCAGATGTAGAAGGTATAATCTATCATAAAATAAACCAGTAAGCTGAAGCTTGCAGCAACAGAAGCACCCCCCTTCCCTGGTTTGCAGTGGTTATCTGGTTATATTCTGCTTGCAGCAAGAATGCCACAGCTCTGATAATGCTGTAAATGTGTGATCTGAAGCACTCTGCCACAGATACCCTGAGCTGGCATCAGGCACTGCCCGAGCTGTGCCTGGGTGGATCCCAGCAGCAATCACAGTGTCCTCTCCCTGTGCACTGCAGCAGTGCTGCAGGGCTCCAAGCAACCACTGCAAACATGGATCAGGATGCTCAGAATGGTCAACAAAAGTTGAAGGGACTCCCTAAATCTCACACCTGATTGATCCAACCAGTGAGGCACAAGTTAAACGTCTGCTCTGCATCTGATTACCTGTTGGTTGAAAAGGTCCTCCTCTCCATACTCTGCTTCATCCTCTTCCTCTTCATTCTCTCGCACAACTACTGATTTAGTAACGCTTCTCACTGCAACTTCCTACACAAAATGACAGAGAAGTAGTTTTTATCTGTTCCTTATGTTTTTGCCATACCATCAATATATCATCCCTATTAAATTTTGGAGGGTTTAAAGCAACTTGACCTAGATGGAAGCAAATACTGGTAATATCCTGCAAACCACATCATTCCTATTTGTGTGCACTAAAAGGCATGGTAATGTAATTTAGCTGCAGGAATTTTCTTTCATTACCCTGGGATTTGAGAGGAAGCAGACATGTTTCAATTTTATGCAAGGTCACAGCAGACACAGGTAGGAGCTGTCTGAGACACAGTGTAATGTGAGAAACTAAACTTTCTCATTATGATTACACAGCATTAAGAATATTCCCAATTTCTACTAAATATTCAATCTCAATTGTATATGTTGGTTATCAGCATGGTCTTCCAAGCCAGGCACTAAAAAGAATTCTAAAAACCCAGGAAGCTTCCTCTATTAGTAAATTATCTTTAACACTTCTTAGCAGTAAGAAATTCTTCTATCTACTTGCACCCTGGAAATCAGAGGTGCAAAACTCTAGTAGTGGAAAAAGTTGTCCTTAACATACACTTCTTAGCAGGGACACTAAAGGTAACCACAGTGGGAACAGACATGGATTTGACCACTCAGTTTGAATACTAAGACAGTGAGCTTTCTGTTTGTACAAGTGATCCTCCCTCCTACCTCATACTGTGCACAAAGTGCTTCCAGAGAACTGCTGGCAAGAAAGGCAGCACAAAAACTGGTGAAATGTGGTCTGTTCCCCTTTCCTATTGCTGGGATAATGGCACACTTAGGAACAACATATTCTCCCCTGCAAAAGTCATCTGCAGGGATGGTTTTGAAACATTAACTGTGGGCAGATGTAGCACAATGCAGAATATACAGGAACCTCTGCCAAATGACAACTCATGATATGCTTCCAATATGGAAATGACAGCTATCTTCCTACATTAATATTCACATTGCACCCCAGAATGTCATAGGGACTATATAAGGGAATTTTGAATTGCCAGCAGTGTTTCTTTTCTTCGTCTCTTCTGAAAGTACATACTCAAATTCCAAACAAGTTCTCTACTAGCAGGGTGTTTTTATAAAATAGAAAAAAAAATGTCTATGGGCATAACCACCACGATGATGATCACAGCTTTCGAAAACAGCCCAAAAATGTCAGATACGTACAGATACTTAATTTTTTCAGTGTTATAAACTCTTATATTAGAAGATAATAGGAGAGATCTTGAAATCAGGATTGTGCCATGTCACCCCACCCTCAAGTGAAAGAGTTTGGAGCTCCCCCAGCCTACCTCTCCTTCCGAGTTCACGAGGTAAGTGCGGATGTTTCCTCCGGTGCCCCAACTGCCCTGGTTCTTCCACACCAGAACAGAGGGGGGGCTGTGAGATACCCCTGCATCTGCACCCCAGATCTAGTCAGAAAGACATTCTGTAATTAGCTGTTCACGCAATTTTTTCTTTTAAATATACAAGTCTCTCTAATTCTCCTACTTCTCTCTAGATACCAGGGTTTTTTCTGAATTCCAATGGTTGTTTTACCCTACTTTTAACTATACTATTACTTGTAGTCTTAAACTTAACTACAGTCTACTAGATTGAATGAATGCTCTGAAATGTTCCCACTTCTTTAAGAGGTTGAGCAGGATTAGTGTTCCAAACTGGGGCAAAGGTGTTTGACAACAAATAGTCCTTGAAGTGTTCCCCAAAATACCTTTTTCTTCAACTTTACGCCCCCAAAATGGTCTTAAATAGTGAATTTCTATATTAGCATTTCAGTATTTATGTTCTGCATTTTTGTAACTGAAATACTGCTCTTCTAAAGTGAGATCCATGAAACCAAAAGCTATACACCAAATCATGCTGAACCAAACATCAAGATTTACAACTGTTGCCATAGCATCAACAAAAGAATATGCTGTTGACATACTGGAAGTACAACTTACTGTAACAGTTTGCCCAGCTCTGAGGACATACTTAGGAGTAAATTTGTAAGCAATTTCTTCTCCATCTCCAATTTGTCTTTTCAGCCTCCAGTTACCCAAAGACTGATCCTAATGGAGAGAGTCAAAAGGTTATTCAGAGTGAACAAAACAGAGCATACAGGCATCTGAGCTTTCTTTAGGTCTTTGTTATTAAATTAATGTGAATATAAATTTATTTGCATGGTTGTTAGACATCTGCATTCCACCTTGAAAGTATTTTTCTATATCCAGTAAGAGTCTAAATTGTAAATCCCTTAAGGTCATTCAGCAAAATTTTAAAGGGTATTCATTTCACACGACAACGTTCTGCTAGACAGCAGGTTGTTTCCATCAGCAATATTCCAGCACACGTTTACACATCTGGAACACAAACCGTGTTCTCTTCCTGCAGCAAACATTACACTCACGTTAACCCACCACAACATTCAACTCTTCAGTGCCCCTGTTAATTCCTGCACGATCCTGCACCTTGAGATTGCTGTTCCTCCTCTCCACGTGGCTGCCACCTACCTGTGGCTGCAAAGGGCTGTGGAACGTCTGGATTTAGCTCCTCCTTGTTCTGCTGACACTCACCTTCTCCGAGTTGTTCTTCAGCTGAACGTATTTGCCCTCCAGGTCTATCTCTTCTATGCTGATGCTTCCTGTAGCTGAAGCTTGCTGGGACATTTGGAAGCTGCTGCTGCTGCTGCTGCCGCTGATGCTCCCGGTGCCGATCCCGCTGGTCCCGCTGCCGGAAAGCTCCTCGGCCTCGATGCGTTTTCTCTTGCCCCGGGAAGAGCGAACAAGGGAAGTGCTGCTGCTGCTGCTGCTGGAGGTAGCCCGAGAGACTGTGACACGGGAGGAGGGGCTTGGAGAGAGCTTCAACCTTAAGGCAATCAAGAAAGCATTTGAATTAACTCCCCCAGGGAACAACAGACAAAGCTACGGTATCATCAGTGACCAGGCTGTGATGTGCTGCTGACAGCAGCCTCGCTCTCTGTGTGAGAGGACTGCACACATGAGGAGGAGGGGGCTACCCATCCCTGAGGAATACTCTGGCAGGATGATACATGACATGGGAAAGCAGTGCTAATGAGAGCGACACAGATCACTTAACCCTCCCCTCCAGCACAGCTGCCACTAAACACAGTATTCTCAGGCCACGTGATTTAAAACCAGGAAAATGCAGAAGTACAAGCACTTAAATAAAAAGAGATGAAGACCAAGCACGGAATGATATATTCAACTGTACTCCAAGACCATTACAAAACCCAAAATAAAATAAAGATGGTGTTCAGCTGACAACAAGTGTTCCACGTAAGTGTTCCATACAACACATTGTGGTGTGAAGCCCTTATGACTTCAGTGAAAGAAAATCTGGGCATTCCTGCTCAGAAAGGTAAAAGAAACTGGAATCTGTACTTACCTTTCCTCTTCCCCTTCCAGGAGTTTTCGGTAAGCACTGATCTCCATGTCCAGTGCTAATTTAACATCGAGCAGCTCCTGGTACTCCGTAAGCTGAAGCTGCATCTGGTCCCTCATGTCTGTCATTTCCCTCTCCTTTGCATCCAGCATCTTCCTAAACTTCTCCCTCTCCCCAGCCATCATCTCCTCCAGCTCCCGGATGCGATCTTCCGCTGCGCTGGCCTAGGCAGAGAGCACCAGGGAAAGCCCAGTTGGCAGCCGTGCAGTTCCACTCAGAAAAGGCTAAAACTCATCTCCCTCCCAAATGAACGTAACCAAAAACTCCTCTATGTAAAGTTCAGAAAATATGGAGGGCCAGGAACGTTAACATATCGACACAAAACAGTGCTCTGTGTTCAAGGGGACAGCAAATTTAGTTCCCTTACCTGTTTCTGGAGGCCAGAGAGTTGGTAGCTGAGAGCTTCTATCCTCATGCGAGCCTCCTTCAGCTCCTCTCGAGCTGCACCAGCAGCCTTGTCATTTTGGTCAGAGGACAATTTGGCATTCTCCAGCTGGAAGGAAAGTTTTATACAGGTCACTTGCATTGAGTTAGATCCCCTACAATATCCTTTTGGTAAAAAAATAGCAACTGTTTAATCTTAAAAAATTTTAAATGGACATCTGGTGAGTTTAGGATAAGAACTGCATTAGGAAATGCAAGAAAGGACCAGGAAAATCTATTTCAGACCTATTCCTATAGTATTTGCTTATGCTATTAAAAAAATAGTCTGTTAGCCCTTTCATTATACAAGCAGCCTTAGTGTTTCCAAAAAAGTGACCATTCTCTGCCTGTTTGTCCTAAGACAAATCACACTGGACAACAGCAAAGACTGCCTAGCAAGTCCATGTCTTGGTCCAACAGTTCCCTGGATGCCCAAGGGCTAACTCAATAAAATATTCCACAGGTATTATGTCTCCTTTGGCCATTTGCAACTCGGGGACTTCCTAAGCCAGAGACAATATTTTGCTGCTTACTGTCTCTCTCAGTGGATTTTTCAGGCAAGAATTTGTCTCTGCTTTTTGAATTTATGGGGGCAAGGAGTGTAGTTCTGTATTAATAAAGAACAATCCTCTTTGAATGTCCAGTGGCAGATTCAGAAGAAACAATGTCCCTGCTTCTACTGAAAATAAAATAAACAATCACTCCTCATTCACCTTCCCCATGCTATTTATTTACCCTTTTACAGACATCCACTGTATCTTTCCCTTCTCTAAAGGCATCTCTTTTCCAGGTGAAGTTTCATTTAAAACTTTCCTCGTGCATGACCTCTTTCATACTCTAAATTGTCTTTGTCACTCTGCTCTGTATTACTCTGTAGCACTTTTGCAAGAAGCAATAAAACTACCCACGGCACTCCAGATGACATCCTGCCCCAGAGGCAAAACAATGGTTTTTGGTTTATTCACTTTACTTTTTTCTCTTTAGTAATTGCCAACATACAATTTGTTTTCTTAAATTCACTTAGTGAACAAGGTCCATTTCTAGTGGCTAATTTTAACCAAATTAGAGAGCAACAACGGAGCTCAAAGCTGGTTACAAGATAGGTTTCATCAAAGCAGACAGCGAGAAAGAGCATCCTTTGCATGCCTTGCAGCTGGACTTCAACAATTCTGCCACACACCATGGAATCCACCCAAAAACTAAACTGACCCAATTCTAAGAACTGTTACAGGCAGATGTTTTTTAGCCACACAGCACAAAGCTTTATAAAATCAATTTTCATTAGCTCTGCTGTTCACTAAGTTCTAAGCAGCACACAGAGCCTTCTTTAGCTATGGATTTTGAAGGAGCTTCAACTACACACTCCATTACTTCTTGTAAAGTTTTAAAATCAAGAATATTTGAATCCTAACAACCATCCACTACCTTACAGTCACGCTGGCATAGTCCCAAATCCTCATATTCAGAATTTCTATTACTTATTACCAAAGATCATGATGTTCTTTCTTATAAGCCCTCTTTAAGTATTCAAAGGTTGCAAAAGGTTTGTCCCAAGCTTTCTCTGTTCCAGGCTGAACACCCCAGCTCTCCCAGCTCTCTCCATAGCAGAGGGGCTTCAGTCCTCTGATCACTTTTGTGGCCTCCTCTGGACTTGCTCCAGCAGCTCCACATCTGTTCTGTGCAAGAAGTGAGCTTTTCCCAAGACCATCTCATCCTGGACTCACTCAGCAGCTAAACTCAACAATCTGCTTTGACATCACATTCCTCCCCAGCTCAGGTCTCTAACAGGGACACATCTTTGTCTAGTAATCTACAGAAGGAAGTTCACAGCTAAGCCCCTTTCCCTTCACATTCCAACTTCATTTATAACAACCATCTTTTATGTGGGGGGGGGAAAGCAACTTAATTTATTCTTCATTCCCCTGTTCAAATCTTGTCATCTTTTCATTCTCTAAGTCTGTATGTTGACTGGCTATAACCTCTATAACCTCCCTGAAAATGCACCTGCACTCAAGCCCCAGAGGAGGCCTTTGAACACTGGGAAAAAGCTTCCTCAAATTATAATTACTGGTCTCCTTACGGAACAGCAGGGCTGGTGAAAATGGTTTTCTCTCACTGACTGGGATTCCAGTCTGACAGCAGTGGTTACCTTAGCCTGGTAGGTCTGCTCCAGCTCCAGCTTGTACAGTTTGACTTGTTCATCGTGCTGATTCCGCAGATCCTCCAGAGCCTGAGTCATTTTGGACTCGTACTCCTGCTGGCGGCTCGTGTCCACCTCGATCAAACGATGCTCGTGGCGTTTTCTTGTTTCCCTGATTTCCTACACACACAACAGAAAAAGAGGGACAAGTTCCCACAGTAAGGGAAGCAATTAAATTCAGACAACAATTAACTATTTCAGTACTAACTACTTAGTATAGAGGAGCCTTTAAGCCTGGGAACTGCTGCGGGCACCAACAGATGCAAGTTACTGTTCTCACTTGGCAGGACAGAATTCTTTAAAGTGATCCAACCTAAAAACAGCTTCAAAAATGGCCATAATACAGTTTAAGTAAGGAGCTGTTTTATGCTACAAAAAGCAAAATGGGGGGAAGAAAGTAGAAGAAAACATTAATTTTTACACAGCAAAGAGATTCCATGTGCTGCACCACAAATCCTTTCCTTCTCAATATACATCCTGACAGTACAATAGCAGTCTGCAAGGAATCAGATGAAAATTAACACCTTTTGTGACCATTACATATATTAAAAAAATCACTACAGAGAAAAACTGCATCTTTTTCTAGATACTTGATGACTCTTCCTTGTTAGATTTTGATTACAGTATTAATAAAGCAGCAACCCAAGCAATCCTGAAGACATGAATATAATTTTTTATGGTCAGAGTCTGTACTATGAAATTTTCATTTTTAGAGAAGTATGAGTTTCCTGTGCCTAAGAACACTGGTCCCAAACTAGTAAGGTAAGGCTTACTCATGCACTCATTCAAGCTGAGCCATGCAGAGACCTGGCCAGGTCTGAAAGTGTGGTATGAGAAAAACAATTTCTTCCTTCAGGGCAGGACAAACAACCAGGGAGTGGTTCTGAGTACTGGGAGGAGGCCTGAAGTCAGCAGCATGGGCCATGAGGAAGAACAGCAAGTAAAGCAAGGCTCAATTTTGCATGCCCACACCGAAGTCATAGCAGGCTAATACAAATTCAGAGCAACTTCACTGGTTGTTTTGCAGAAATGCTCTACATTTAAAAATAATCTACAGAAACGTGCCCTTTTACTGACAGTAACGTGCCCTGAAGTGATATGGAAGAAGCTTTCCCTTCTGTGGTGAATTTTTACACCAAAAAAACTAGCAAGCAGCAGTCTCTCAGTAACTGTAGGCAATGACAGCTCAGAGGCCTCAGGAATGTCATGGGGGACTACAAAGGATCAGGTGAAGGGCTGAGCTGATCCAGCACTTCAACACCACTAGAATAAGCAGGCCTGACTTGCCACACTCCCAGTCATGATGTTCTAATTCTAAGAGATTTGGACCCTTCACTGAAGCAAACCCATTTATTAACCTAAAGAAAATCCATTTCTTTTTTGCTTTCTGTTGAGTTGGTCCATGCAAGGATCAGAGAGCTCCAGGGATGGCTAAAGGAACACTCACCCTTGAGCAGAGCAAGCTTTAAGATTAGCTTCTGCTGCCTCATTTAGCTTCACCTTCAGTCAGTAGGAACACATTCTCCTCAAGAAGCAAAGTTATTTTAAGGTCCTACAACCAAATAAAAGTCTATCACTGCAGTCACGTGCATCAATCCAACCAGTTCAGGGCATGGAAGTGAGAAAACAGTCAGTACAACTCCAGGTGATCTCCCTGGTTGGTTCCTTTGCCCTGCTCCAGCCCCTGTCTCCTGTCCTTAGCCACACAGCCCTGTCCCATCCCTTAAACCAGTCTGGGCACTCATTTGGATTCTGGTAAAACAAAACTCAGCCACTTAGCTGAGTTTTCAACTAATTCAACTAAAAAAACTCTAAGTATCTTACTAGCTAATCAGGCTGAAATGATTTGGTGCATGGTGGGGCCAAACATCACACCTGGCATAGGTGAGATGAAGGGCAGAAGCACGTGGCAACTCTCACTGAATGAGTCTGCAGAGCCACCAAGGATGGAATAAACTGCTGTAACACTGCACATCTGGTACAGAGAGAAGGTCACGCTTCCCCTTCCCAATTCCCACTTTTACAAAAACTCTGGTCCTCACCAGAGCCACTCACTAAAGAGGAAGAAAACTATCTCTGCAAAAAGCAGGGCAGTTGCATACTATGCTTGACAATAAAACCAGGTTATAGTCAGGTCCAACAACAACCAAAGCCAGTGCAGGTAAGGAGCAGGACCATGCAACCAGGTTCAGAGAGAGGGAACAAGACTTTCCCTTTCCCACAGCAGTCAGCTGCTCCATTAGTTCACTTGCCCATGAAACAATACCCTTGTCACCTGGCTCTCATGCCAGCTCCACCACTTATTTACCATGTAAAAAGGTGCAAAACCTTTATTTTATTACTCAACTCATTTAAAGGAAGAATAATACTAATTTTCCCTAGCTGAACTAGTTAGCAGTTACTCATAGTCAGTTTGATTAAAACCTACTTAAACTTTGGACTATAGCAAGATTATTAGGTTGATAATACCTCCTCAAACACATTTTTTCTGAAATCCAAATCCTCTTGCAAGCTCTGGCACCGATTTTCCAGGTCCACACGCATGAGTGTCTCCTTCTCCAACTGCTTCTTAGCCACAGCATGACCGTCTTCAGCCTAGCACAGAATGTTAATGAGAAAGACTTTATTTTGTCCAGATTCCTATTTTCCATCCATAAACCCTTTGTGGTCTTCATCTGATGTCTTTGGACCAATTATTCACAATAACAAATCTAATGTCAAGCCACTGATTTAAAAATAATAAAAAAAACAATGAACCACCGACAACAAAAAGAAACAAAACAAACAAACCAACCAACCAACCACCCCAAAAAACACCACCAACAAAAAAAGAACAAGAATGTGTGTGTGCTAATGGATATTTCAACCGAGCTTTCACCTTTGCATACCAGCTATTTAAAATGTAGGATTATTTCAATACACTGCAATACTGGAGCTGAGGATTATTAATTCCTCAAGCACAGTGTGTTGCACCTTCTTTTTCTTGCCAGCATAGTCCCATTGGGGACTCTGGCACAAGTGTAAAATTATTCAGGACCTTACAAAGGACAACATTTAGGAACCTGATATCCCATGAATATAAAAACATCAGAACGTTTGAAAAAAAAGATTTGATGAGCAAAATGTCCAAACCCCTAGGTTGTTTTGGTTGTTTTACAGAGATTTCTTAGTTTTGCATCCCAGAGGGGCAGGCAAAGGTTCAGCAGTAAGTGAGGTGGATCAGTGATGTTCACACTACAAACTAACTGGAAAGAAAGAAAGGGGATTTCACACTCCACAGCCTGTCTGTGCTAAAGCAAGGAAGCATTCCCTGGCATACCTTGGCAAGCTGGGCACGCAGATCAGCCACCTCTGCTTCCAGGCTGCGTTTCTCGTTCAGGACAGTGTTGAGTTCTGCTTCACTTCTATGGAAGAGAACTTCCAGATCCTTAATGCGCCCCTGAGCCACAGACAGATCCGCGTCCTTCTTCTTGTAGCTGCAAAAACACGAGTTCATTACACTTACATAGGGGTGCACAGCCATCCTGAGCGTGTCCTGGTCACAACCACAGGTATTTTGGTATCAGACACCTTTTATCAGGCCCCACACAGCTCCTGCAGTAACCTGCAAATGCTGATCAGTGACCTGAGACACCCCCAGGACGTGCAGTGGTACCGTGTGCTGTAAACTCATGGCATGGTAAAGAACATGCCATGGACAGACAAGGGGAAAACAAGAAGGCAACTCTGGCAGCTAAGAGATGACAATACACACGTGGGGTAAACAGTATTTTTTCATCTTGCAGCTGCACAGCACATTAAACTGCTGAAATCTTTTACTTCAGACTACAGCCCATGAGGAAGAGTACACACAATCCTCAAAGAAGCCTGAGCATCCCCGGGGTTTTCTATTTGATGTGGCCAAGCCTAGTCCTCATGACATATTCCCACACAAAGTATAAAGTAATTCGCTATGGAAACGTGGTCACCTTTCAGCAATAAAACAGTATTTCTTCAGCAATATTCACTACAGGCAAAGCATCTCCAGCTGCTTTAAATATGATTATTTGAGCTGAGATCATCAAGGTCATCTTCCTCCTGCCCACCAAGTATTTATCAATCTTTAACATACTGACTTTCTGCAGCTTCTCTAGGTGTGTGTTGTTATGTTATTTAAAAAACTGTTTTGTTATGTGCAGTAAATCCCTCCTTGCTGCAGCTTCAGCTCGCTGTTCTACTCTCACACCACTCAGGATGCAGGGAACAGCTTTTTATCTTTTTTAACAAAAATCCCCCGTGATGGGGTATTGGTGTGCCCTACAGACAGTATTTCCTTACAAGGTTCAGCACGATACGCATCTTTCTAAGTCAACACCCTTATTTTGCAATGCACTCTAGATACAAGGCTCATGTCTTCTCTCCTGCATTCCTTGGTGTAGATCTTGGAATTTGTTTTCATTTAACTGTAGCTGATTTTTCTTAATCATTGGTCCAATCTGTTGCTGTGAATTCTGTTCTGCAACATATGTGCAGTGTCTTCAGACTCAGCAGCTTGCAGGAGACATATAGACAAAACATGACTTCTTAAACAAGACAGTTATTTAGCAGCAATTAGAATGTCACAGGCCACACGTGTTGTGTAGTAAAACAAGCCACTGTTCTGTGTCACAGCCAGGCAGACCTGGGAGCCTTCTGCCTGTGCAAGACCCAAAGGGCAAATGCCACTTCCCAGCGAGCATGAACAGCAGTGTGTGCTCACACAGCCTCCTGCTTCCTCCCACCTACAGCAGCCAGGCAGTGAGTGCTTCCAGGGATGGGAATGAACAGGAGTGTTGGATGTACAGCCTGACAAAGCACCATAAAGAATTTCTGACAGTGATAAGTAACTTCTGCTCCTTCAAGGACACTGACACTGAGAACACTGCAAGCCACCTTCATTCACATTTTTGTTTTCATTTATAGTTTCAGCCTGGTTTATTGCCTTCATGCAAAAATATGACAGAGGTTTTACAAAAGTGCAACCTGCTTTTGGAGGTCCCTGAGGTGCCTGCAAGTTCCCAATAGCAGTCAATGTATCTGGTGAGATGTGTCAGTGCTTCAAAAAACATCAGGTTCGGGTAACCCTCAAGAGCTCTTTCTTTCCAGAAGCTTTTGCCAAGTTTGCTCAAGGGAAATGTTTCAGTGACTGCAGAATCAGAGGATGGCTTGGGTTGGGAGGGACCTTAAAGCTCATCTCATTCCAGCCTCCTGCCATGGGCAGGGACACCTTCCACTAGCCCAGGTTGCTCCAAGCCCCATCCAACCTGGCCTGGGACACTTTCAAGGATGGGGCAGCCACAGCTTCTCTGGGCAACCTGTGCCAGGGCCTCCCCACCCTCACAGGAAGAATTTGTTCATAATATCTAACCTAAAGCCACTCTCAGTTTGAAGCCATTCCCCCCCTGTCCTGTCCCTACATGCCCTACAGGCAGAGGAAGCTGCAGCCCAACGTTCACCCCCCTCAGAGCTGGGAGTGCACAGTCTGAATGGACTGGAAGGAATCTGGCAGGAGCAGCTCTGAAGCCAAAGAAGAATTCAATTCTACTGCTATGAACTGTAAAAACAGAGAAAACCAGAAAACCAGGTATATTTTCCTCATATTTAGTTTATCTTAGAAAACAAACAAATAAAAAGTTCAAAATTAGTCTGGTAGAATTAACCAGTCATTGAAAGTGACTGGTAAAGGGGCAACTCAGTTGTCCAAACAAAGGACAAGGGATGTGATCCGAGGTAAAACACCATTTCAATCACTTTAAAAGTGTACAACTTTCTACAACAAGCTATTTGTAAAATCTCTTAGTGGTATCAAAAGCCTAAAGAACTGGAATCAACTGGATTCTCATTACCTGCCAAGTGACACTACTTCTGACAAGGATACCTTAGTGAAAACAGAAATAACACCTTGCAGAACAAGAGAGGTGAAAATTCCAAGTTACCACTGTTGCTCTCTTCTGGAGTTTACTTTAAAAGCCAAGCCAGCAAAGTATTTGCTATCACTGAGACAAGAGAGACAACCTCAATGACCACACAGTGCCAACTGGCAGGAAAAATATCCCATCTCAAACAAATGCCAAGACTGCTGGCCTGAGGCTCTGAAGAGGAAAAACAGTCCCAACAGGTACCTCCCAGTAGGGCTGGGTGGGATTCACCTCACTTCACTTCAGAGGTTTATGGCTGACCCAGTTACCAGAGGGGTTTTCCAAGGTTAACAAAAGTTGAGGTAACCAGGTCCATAAATACCAGTGCACAGGTCCTCTGGCCACAGGCAGGCCTGGGGTATGGACTGTGCTTCAACAGGCTTCACACTGACACCCTCAGTTAGGTGCCATCTCACCTTTTCACAATTGTTTTAGGGGAAAGCACACAAAATATCTCCAATGGCTGCGTTTAAAAAGAGGGCTCAGCACAGAAAATGAATCTCCAGTGATACAGCAAAGTTTAAAGAGAAAGCATAAAATACTTTACCATAAATCAACTAGCTAGTCAGGAAAAAAAAAAAAAGACAAAGGAGGGAAACACTTAATTCCTTTTATGACCACTTAGATGCAAACAAAAGGAGATGAGTGACTTACAGTAGGCCTGTACTGGCACTGTTGGATTAAAAGCTATTTTATGGCCAACAGCATTCACATAGAGGTGATGTACATACTGACCTGCTCAGGAAAAGTCTGTAATTCCCAAATCTTATCTATTAAAACAGGTACCAAAATACAATCGGAAGCAAAAATTGATTTTGCCACCACATATATTAATTTTAAAATCACGTTTCTACTGCTAAACAGTATGTATTTGATTACAAAAACTCCCATGGGAATTGAAATAATAGATCACATCTGGCTTCTGGAGCTAGTTGATGATGCTAATGCTCTGTGATGCAGACTGAGCAGCAGTTTTTTAAAATGTAGTCAGTACCAGGTCTTTTTCCAGCACACTTACATTGTAGCTTCATGTGTTTTCAAGGCAACCCTGCTTCCACATTCCCAGACTGCTCCCTTTCCCTCCATTTCTGTGACAGTGAACCAGACAATAAAACTGATACTGTTTTAAAATTAACCCTCCCTTGGATGGGTCAGTTTTAATGTAGATCAGCTCCTCAGCCCAGTTTACCAGGCACTGCACACGTGCATGTTCACCTAAGGGGAGGTACAACAGGACAAAGCAGGCACAGCCTCTTGTTTCAGCCTCAAACTGCTCCAATCACAGGATATTCATCTTAGACCTACAAATACATTTGTGTATATACTGGTGCAATTATCTGCTCTGACCAGCTGCACCAACTAACAGAGGCATTTCCCTCTGACAAACCTGTATCTCCTCATTGATCTGCTTCCAAAAGGCATTTTAAGAAGCATTGTTAGTATAATTCCCACAACAGGTATTGCCTATTCTAATTAAAAGAAAAAAAAAATAATAAAAGAGTGCTCTCCTCACCTCTTATTGAACTCCTCAAGTTCTGCTCTCAGTTTTCCTATTTCAATCTGTAATCTAGCTCTCTCTTTGGCAGTTTCATCCAGAACTCTTCGGGCATCAGCCAGTTCAGACTCATAGAGACTCTTGATTCCACTCACCTAAGGGAAAAAAAGTATTCAGGTGTGAGAACATCCCAAAGACTATCAGAGAACTGAAACACAGAACCAGGTTTCACATAAGTTTCTTTGAAGAAAAGGGTGTATGATATCGATTTCTGCTGTTTAAGAACATTCTATGTTCAACATTTTCAATTAATGGGCAGTCCCACAGACAAGATTTAGTTTTCATTATCAGTACCACATAACAAAACACACTATATTTGAAGTGTGCAAGTCTTCCCAAGAGATAAACTGCAGCAGATCAGTGCACCCTACAATCTTAGCTTAAATTATTCACTCTCATTTCTAATACTGCTGCTTTGGGAGATTTTTTTTTTTTATAAACACTTTAAGACATTTTGTGGAACACAAGCCCAAGGGCCCAGTTTGACTCCGCTGCTCTTCCACTATAAAACTAAAAAGTATCTGAAACCAGATGAACTCCAGAAATGTGAACTGTTCAGAAATGAACTTGTACTCCAGTTCTCTACCTCAGAGGATAAGGATCTCCAGACCTCTCCCTGTCCCAATTCAATATATCACATAATCAATTAGCTATTCAGACTGCATGAGGCACCTTAAAGTCTTCTACACCTTAGTTTTTTTTAGAATGGAAGATTATTTGAAAGGTATATCAGACAGCTAAAATGTTCAGGCCATATAAGATTGCTGCTATTGCTTCTGTTAAAGGGACCAGAACAATCATCACAGTATCAAAGAATATGCTGAGTTGGAAGGGACCCATCAGGATCATCCAGTCCAGCTCCTGGCCCTGCACAAGACACTCTAACAATTCCACCATGTCCTTGAGAGCATTGTCTAAATGCTTCCTGGACTCAGCCAGCCTTGGAGCTGTGACCACTTCTCTGGGGAGCCTGTTCAGTGCCCAATCACCCTCTGGGGGAAGAACCTTTTCCTGAGATCCAACCTAAACCTCCCTGACACAGCTCCAGCCGTTCCCTCGGGTCCTGTCCCTGGTCATGAGAATGAAGAGGTCGGTGCTGCCCCTCCACTGCCCCTTGTGAGGATGTTGAAGACCCCAATGAGGTCTCCCCTCAGTCTCCTCTTCTCCAGGCTGAACAAACCCACTCTGCTCTTCACTGGTGCAGCCTCACCTTGAATACTGTACACAATTTTGGGCACCACGACATAAAAAACCCCAAAAAACTATTACTAATCTAAATTCAGGGACACGGCAATCACAGAGGGAGAAAAGCCAAAACGAGAATGCACAAATTTTAGGAAGAGAAATTTCATAACAAAGATAAAATGTAGAAACAAGAAAGCAAAATGTTCTATTCCTAGAAGTACTATTTCAGCATCAGAGTGGCACCAATGACAGACACAACCATCTGGTCTTCAGAGAGACTGATTAAAAGCAGTCAGGATATAATTAAGTTCCTGATAAGACTATACTTCTCATAAAACTTCTGAAATTAAGTAAACTGTGACAGTATGAGGGCTGAGAAGCCTTAGTTTACAAGCATACCACACACCAGAAACACCTTACCCATGCAACGATCTATCCATGCAATCTTGCTTCTTTTCTTTTAAGAATTAATTCTTTCAAGCTTTATTCCATCTAAGTTTTGGGTTGGTGGGGTTGTTTTTTCTCCACAGACTCACCAGAGGCTCTCTCTGACACGAGCCAACACATCTCTGTATTATCACTTACAAAACTCAGCAAGTTCTATGAAGAAGCATACCATGACTACACTAAACTCTTTCATGCAGAACTCCACAATGAAAAAAAAATTAAAAATTAAAAATTGGAGATTATAAGCTGTAAAGCCTTTCATTATGGATGATCCTGGAGTGAAAGTACAGTCTTTGCAAATTGCAATACAAAATACAATTGCCCAAAGGTGAAGCACTGGTTCTGCACCATCAGGTACTGCACCTACAGCTCTCCTCAAATGCCAGCCCTTTGTTAGACCCTTTGGTTCCTCAATGTGCTCAAATCCTGTCCCAGGAGACCTACCAGGAACTTGGGGCTGTATTGCTGTAGGTTCAGAGACACACACTAAATCACAGTGCAGGACACAAGGACAAATCCCTTCCCAGTTCTCCAGGGCATAAACTGGAATTGCACCTCAAGGTCCAAAGGAAGGCAGCCTTTTTCCTGAGGTTTTCATGAATACTGTCACAAAGAGGTGTTGCTGGTGTGATACCTACAACAGGCCTTCAGGAATTTATGCTTTTGAGGCATTACAGAAAATGCAGAGCTTAAAAACACCAAAAACCAGTAATCTGAACAAAGCATAAACACTTCATGTAATTCCTGTGTAGAGACAATATAGCTTGATGGATCTAAAAATCATGATGAAAGCTGCTTCTGAACCTGTTATTAAAAAGACAACCAGAGTCTGTGATGCTTTAATTAGAAAGGAGAGACTCGTTTATGGCATAACTCATAGCTCATGGTAGGAGCTTAGTATGTATTTTTCTTCTGCAGCATGTTAACCTCTTCTCTGCTCTTCTTTCAGCAACACACATGAGAAAAAAACCACACAGGTCCATTCACAGCCAAAAGGCCACTTTCACTAGAATTTCAAGCTACTACACTGGGCAGACAGAAATAACTGAGACATAAGGACACGCTGCAGCTTCCAGCAAAGGGAGGCAGCAGCAGAGAGCTGGGAGCAGTAACACCTTCAATCAATGGAAAACAAAACCACAAAAAGCCCTTGCTAGAACTCTAAGAACGGGATGCAAAGAGAATATGGATTCGTGATAACACTGATAAAAGTTTCAGATGATCAAACTGAATCTGGGGACAGTTCGAGATGGTCTTTCTAGACCACAACAAAATAGCATCATGTTTATTTTCAGCACTGGTCAAGTAGAGAAAAGAGACCCAAATGCAGCAGTAGGCTCAAATGAGAACAAGTGGTGACAGCTCAGCAGAACTAGCCTTGGCAACACTTCTAGTCCAAGATGGTTACTCACAGAAAGCACTCTTCTACCCCAGCACTGAGAGAAATTCTGGAAGGTATTTCTGTTCCCTGAAACTGTCACCCCCCAAACTCTGTTTTGGTGGAAGGAACTTGACTTAAGAGTCTAATGACTCACTGAAAATCTCCAGAGAAGTACAGTCCCAAAAGTGCCACTGTTTAGTGCACATATAAGATTTTGCTCTGGTTTGACTCTACAGACACTCTTCTGCCCACTCCCTTTTTTAATTTCTTTACATTTGCTACTCAGTTTGGTCTCTAGTACAGTGACACTTCCAGCTGTTCTTAAAAAGATGCTGTTAAAGCAAAGCAGGACCTCCTAGGACAAGCCTCACCTGCCCTCTCTGGACAAAAATTAAACAAAAAAACCCAACAAAAAGTCAATAGGAACAGCCAGTATCCACAGCAACAAGAGAAGCAAGTTGAGTAAGTGCTTCTGGCACCTGTGAAGCCCCTTTGTGGTTCTCTGTCTCATGACACTGCTGTGCAGAACACCACCAGACAGCACCTACCTGTCCTTGGAACACCCCCAAGGAACACCTGACTCAAGAGACAACCTGTCTGATGACATCTTCCACCAGGAGAATCCATCAGTTCCAACTCCTTCCTCCATTTGTCACTTCTCATCACCTTGCTTGGGTTACATCAACCCCTTGTTTCCTGCTCCCCACGTTTCAGGAAGACACAAACACATACTTGAAACCTGGGCCAACCCTTCCAGTGTAAGGCAGTAAGAGTGGCAGCTGGAAGCAAATGCTGAATGGAAAAAGTACAGAGAACAAGGCACCACACAATTCTTCACTCCCATATACCTCAGCTTCTAAAAATTAAAAAAAAAAATAATATTCTGAGCCAAAGATTGCTTTCAGGCACCAAAACCCAGCAGCCACCAAACACTGCTAATTTGTCTAATCCTATTGTAAATCAATTTAGCTTTTGGATTTCACATCAGAGAGTATCACACAAGCACAGCTGGGAGATTAAGACCTACTGCTTGATAATTTTATTTCATGCCTTTATGTTTTGTGTTGTGAGAAATGTTCAGTGGTTGCTTCCTAGACAAATCTGTTTGGACTCCTGACTTGGAAACCTCAGGTTTCTCCTCATCTCTTCTCCAGATTTGCTCCTGGTCAGAAATTGTTCTGCTAGTCTGCTCATATTTTTTTCCTTATGGGCTCTAGATATTTTAAAATAAGTTAAGAGAACTGCATGCAGCATTCAGAATACAGGAACAGCATTGATTTGCACAGTGATTATTGACCAAGGAAAACAGAGACATTACAGGAGATCAGAGAAGCAGAAAACGCAATTTTCTAAGTGTAATTCTAATAGATTCCAGTTAGTCCAATCCAGGAGGTGACATCTGTTCTTATTTTCATATGTTAATAGTGAGTGCCCATGGAGTGGCTAATCCAGAAAGCCACAAGAGAGAAACCTGGCTCTCAGCAGCACACAGGAGCAGGTTTGCCAAGAACTAGTTGACTTGGTTTTAGCATCCTTGCAGAAGCAAGAGAAGAAACAAACAAACAAAAAAATCTACGACTGTTGGAATTCTGAGGAGTTTGTTAAAACAAGTAAAAAAGCAATTAAGAATAAAATCTTTCTAGAAAGCAAGGTGTTGTAAAAAGACCTTCCCTCTGGTTTCAGGGGCCTGGGATTCCTGAAGGCTACTCTGACCACAAGAAGCCTTTAAGTACATTGGCCTTTCTTATGTCTGACTTAAGCCAGGATCTCCTTGCTCATCCAGACAGGTCTCCTCTCACCTTTGTTCCATTTTCTGATTGTTGGAACAGACCACTCTTGATCCTGAAGAAGATTATAGTTGAATGTCAACCCAGCTCTCTGAGACCCCTTTCCATCCAGGGCTGGGAACCACGGGATTCTTCCAACCAGAGAGAGCCCTGAAGTGGCTAAGGAAGGTCTCCTCTCCTGACATCCAGGGTTGTGGTCCTGCTTCCTGCTCTGGTCCATCCACTAAAGATCCTGAACTCCACTGTCTCATGGTCACTGCCTTGACCAGTTCTCTCTTATTTATTAAGTAATAGG